CAGGCTGCTTTGCCCCAGGCCATGGGGGCTCAGTGGAACCAGAAGTGCCACAGTGGGCACTTCGGTTTCGCTTTTGCCACGTCGACCAGCATGCCAATTAATAGATTTGCAAGGTGCCAGATAACGCAGTTTTTGCTGTATTATATAAAATGTATATATTACACAAAATATATATATATAAAATTTACTTTTGGTGAAAGTTAGGAAAACTAACTTCTACATTAAAAATAATAGTTAACACAGACTCAGTGGATATAACTCTGAACTTACTATAAAATTCCCCTGATTGTCATAAATGTGAATTTCTCCATTTGCCATTCCAAAGAGTAAAACTTTGCTATCAGAGGACCATGCTACGTGGCTCAGCTGTGTACCTTTCAAATCTTTCCCCCAGATACGATTACCTGTAACAGAAAGTCCATTCTATTTAAGAGAATTGGTAACTGGGTATATACTACTTACGTGAAAGGAATATATCAACTAGTAATTAAATTAACATATAAAAATTATAAACAAAAAGAGCTATTAGTCATATATATAAGACAAAAACAATTACTACAAACTATTCCATATGAGAAACCTTACTTATGCAAAATTTGTGGAACATAAATTTAAATCTCAAGAATACAAGCATTATGATGCACCAAATGTGGAGAGCTGGATCTCTGGTGTTAATACATTTTTTTTCTTTTAATCAGTAAGTGATATGGATGTCATGCTCTTAGTTTGATTATTTTTGATTATGCGCTCATTTTTCTTTCAGTGTATCACTATTCAGGCACCATATGCATATATGCAAAACCACCTAGAATGCTGGCTTAATTATCAACAGGGATCCTCCAGTTTGTTTTTTTTAAATCCCAAATTCTCTGATTAAAAAACCCCAAATCTGTGTTTTTCTACGATTAGTGGAGTTTCATTTTAAAGATATACGTATGAGCATAACACAATGTTTTACAAATATATTTACAATGTTAATGCAATATGGAAGCCTACCAGTGCCTCAATCACTATAATAAAATAAATTCTAAACACCTTTAAATTTTGGCATTTGATTTGGGGTTTTTTTTGTCATAGAAAGTCAGAGCTCCCCCTGCCCCCTTTGCTCACCAGGATGGAGGTCCAGCTGCAGCTGTCCCCCAACTACTGCACTGAGGCGCTAAGCAGCCCTGATATGCTAGTGCCCTTCCTCTGCCCATGCCAGTGCCCTTCACTCCCAACCCACAACTTCCACATCCCTACCAGTGCCCCTCTCCTAAACCATAGCCCCCCAGCCCTGCCAATGTTCCTCACTCCTAACCCACAGCCCCTTGGCCCTGCTGGTGCCCCTCATTCCTGACCCACAGCCTTCACCCCCAACCGCCCAGTATGTGAGGAAAGGGCTGAGTATGTGGAGAATGGGGTGGGTGTGAGGAAGGAGGCATGTGGGCACAAGTGATGTGTTGGGGTGCAGGGGGAAGGCATGTGCCCTTCCCCCCCACAGATTTCTGTGCCCACAGGAGGGCATGGAGCTGCAGTCAGGCTGAACCAGCTCTGGGCAGTAGACGCCTCCAGAGCCCAATGGGCAGGACTTGGTGCAGGAGGGAGTGCCATGATGCCATGGCCACCAAGTTGAGGTGCAGTAGCACAAAGTTATAACCCCCACTGCTACCAAGTGAGCAGAGGGCACCTCACCTTAGCAGCCATGGAGGTGCAGTACCCCCTCCCATGCCAGGACCCGCCTGCTGGGCTGCGGAGACAGCTTCTGCCTGGAGCTAGTCCAGCCTGGTTGCAGCCCCACACCCCACAGTGGGCACAGAAATCGGGGGGGGGCGGCGTGTCTTTTGTCCATCCGCATTCCAACTCATACTTCGAACAACAGACTTATTTTTATTATTGATTATTTCTTCATACCAACATGTTGCCTGTGGAGTCTGCGCCCCCTACCCCCATATTTACCTGGAGGGAGCTGCAGGAGCTGCTCTCCACCACCCTGCCTGGCTATCATATGCACATGTATGCCTGCACACGGCGCCCTCTGCCCCCAGCAGCCCCTTTCAGGCTTGAACTCTGCCACCTGCAAGGGGAAACCCGTGGTTTCCTGGGTTTTTCTCCTTTAAAGGAGAAAATCCATGTTTTGCCATGGCAAACAGAAAATCCAGATCCTTGATTATCAAGAAAAACAAAGTACAAGACCCATGCTATTTTTACACATTCATCTTTTTCACAGTTTAGCAAATGATTCAAATTATCATCAAGGACTGTAACAATGGCAAAAATTGATCTTTAAAATGACCTTTACAATTCAAACTATGCACGTACAAAAAATGGTGATGTAAAAAATACTGGATTAAAAAAATAAAACAACCACTTTTTCCATAATTTAAGTGAAAGAGGTTATCAAATTTTAAAGAGAACTGTCACCACTAAATTAAGAACGAGCAACTAGTACTTATACACAAAAGTAATCTTTATAGCCAAAAATGACTGGTCTTTGAAAACAAGAATTTACAATATATATTCCCTGGAACCATCACTTCAGCTAAATTTTAGTACTAGATAAGCAGGTACATAATTCAGTTGGTGTATCTGATTTTTGTTTAAGCATATTTTCTAAGGAAAATTACCAGGTGAGAGCTAACCAAATATCCACAATACCACATTAGTTAATACAGCAGTTACCTTACCATCAACTGAACCAACAATCACAGCCCCATCTTCATATACAATACAGATCTTTTGTCCATCCGCATTCCAACTCATACTTCGAACAACAGACTTATTTCTATTATTGATCATTTCTTCATACCAAGCACCTGTTATCGGAAAATGAAATTCAATTGTACCTTTCATCTTAAAATCCTTTAAGTGAACACAGTATAAACTCAGATGTGTTGATTATTAAATCTCAAATTTGAAAAAAAAAATCTACAAACTGCACAATGATATTCACAAATGCTACTAACTTCCTGACATGTTAAAAACACACAAAAAAAGAAAGAAAAATTACAAAGACTCAGAGAGAAATCAAATGAAAAGGAAATAAAATTAGTGCTGCATCATATGAAACATGCATTCAGCAAAAAGAAATAAAGCTTCTAAGTAATAAAGCAGAAAGAGACCTGGCATGACACCAGACAGCAAATCAGATGTGGCATTCCAAGGCTGCAAAAAGAGACTAAATTAGCACCGGGCTTTACATAAAATAGAAAAGGTGTCATTACAGTTCCCTTTTTGTAAAAGTTTGATGAAACCATCTTAAGAAATACTGAGGGGGGATTTTAGTTCTGGGAAGGCATCAGTGTGGACTACAATAGTGCTGAGGTGCTCAAACAAAATTGCATCTGAGAAAGTGCAGAAACCAAGTTGTTAGCCCAAGGATCCCCGCAATCCAAAATGAAACCACTTAATAAATTTAGGTGTCTACCAAGTTTTGTGGCTGCTGAGGCAGCATTATTTGGAATTTCTATTTTGCAGGTAAATCCTGCCTGTGTTCCATTTAGATACTTATGGAACTAATTTGGAACTACCCTTAAATGATGGCATGGTTCTTTTCCAGTACTAACTTATGTAAGTCAGTCATCATGATCCTAGGCAAAGTGAAGTAATCCACTTGATCTGGCACAGGAAGAATAGTGAACTGAAAGTCTCTCTCCCTCTCCTGATTCATTTTGGCAGGCTCACTTGTGATAACTGCTCAGCTCCTCCAACTGAGTTTAAATTCACTGAAACATGTTTTGAAAAGGTCAAAAAAATAATGCAAAAAGCATTTCTATGATACACTTGCTATACTAGCATACTGAATTTGTGACGTAATTTCTAAGAAACTTATTCAACACTTTCTCGCTCCAAACAAAATGACTACACCAAAACTTTTACCGATATGGCTTTTTTGCCTGCATTTACTGTCATAGCATACCTAATTATTCAATATTAATTTTCAACACTGAGCCTAAATCAGTAAGTTTCGACTCTCTGCATAGTCCCACAGCCGTTCTTCCTATCAGGGAATGAAATAGTATGTCCGACTGACCACTGAGCAAAGCTAATAAGGTTTCAGTTCAATGCGGTTTACACAGCATGTTTGAGCTACTTTAAATTACCCAGACTTATCCCATATGGTACCTTTATACAGCATCCAAACAATGATGAGGCCATTCTGATCACTGGTGGTTAGTTTCTGATACTGTTCGTTCCAGGTCACCACCTGCACAGAACCTAGAAAATTGTAAAAAAATTCACATTTTATACAACTCCCAAAATAATACTAAAATAAAGATTACAAGATCTTTTTTTAAAAATTTGTCAGCGTTTCCTAGAGACTCCAGCAATTCACACTGTTATCATTTTCAGCCACTCCCTTTTTTGTGACTAGGAAAAAAATAGTCTTCTTCAGACAAGCAAGGTTTGTTTGGTAACATCTTTATTGAACCAACTGTAAATTCCCCTCCCTGTTAGAGTTTTTGCCCAGCTAAAATTTCAGGACTTTCACAGCTTTATGCATATGCTTAGATGATCCTATTTTTCTGTTCTCCTGCCCAGCCAGAGCACAGCCCCAGTGAAAACTGCATAAGCGCCAAAAACTGAATTTGGCTCACAGACCAAAACCATGAAACATTCAATGATTTTATATCTAGCTAAGCAATATAAATTATCCCTGTTACATAAAAGAAAATCGTGTTACTAGTTTCACAATAAAATATCAGCAGCTTACACTGTTTCTCAAACCATTAGATGTCCTAGTTTTCAAACCAGGATGATAGTGCAACACAACTGACTCTTACCACTGTGACCTTCCAAGGTCTGATTCATAGAAAGATTGCTAGGAGCTGCAAGACCCTTTAGTTTTGCTTCATCTAAAAAATAAAATAAAATAAAATATAAGAATTATAAAAAACTATATGAACTGTTTGTAAAACATAGCAATTTGTTGTTTGGTCTCAAAACAGATTTAAGACTTAAATCACATGACTAATCCCACTGGTTTCAGTAAGACTGCTTATACCAAAAAGTTTGGAAATAAGTGGCCCTTTAAAGAAACACACACATTCTGTATCTACTAATTGTTGTTTGTTTGCTATTCTGCACCCCTCCCAAGCTCTGATGCTCATCAAGATCCAGAAGACCCCTTAGAAACCACTGCCATCTCCCTTTGCTCAATTTCAGCATGTTCAAAAAAAAAAAAAAAAACACCTTATACTTTATTGTCCTAAAATTTACTTATCTTAACTTGTAAAATGCACATAATTTGCTCTTTAAGTGTATGTGCAATAAAGCACACACTAATTAGCAACATGAAATTGACAAACAGTATCAAGATACTAAGGAAAAAATTCAGAAACTAACTGAAAACCAGTCTATACTATGGAGCTAAAAGAGGAAAATACTCCATGAAAGAATGGTATGTTAGAAGGCAGTTCTATTTTTCACAAAATAAAATTTCCCAGTGGTAACTAAAGCAAAGTTTAGGGTAAACACATAAGTGACAAAACCTCCTATTACAGGACGAGATGCTGCAGATGGGGGGGAAAGGATGAACTCCATTATTAATTATAATCAGTAGGCCAGTGATACCTCAGCAGAACTCCCACAGACATCAACAGGAAGTTTACACAAAGGTCCAGGACAGACTATGGCTCTTGTGTGTTAAGGATATTTGTTATACTATAGTATTGTCAAAAATTAATGTCTTCACCATCACTCGTAAAATAATCTCACATTTAATAGCACTGTTACACCTGACATTTGCTACTCTTTCATGCCCATCCCCCTTTTCTTTGTTTCTCACATTCTACAATGACTTCCAAATACGTGCCTGCCTAATCTTTATTCTTTAAGTCTAGTTCAGATGTAAACAACGGTGGGCTGGTCTGGAGTCAGTATTCATTCGTCTCAAAAAGAACCTGGATTGGGTTCAAATTTAAGAGAAATTTATTAAACCATCCGATAGTTCATTTTAAAATGACTTTACTTTTCAGATGATCATGCATTAAGCAACATCACATACACAGAACTGCACTGCTACAGAACATGAATTGAGACAAAAAGGATATATTTCACAAGTACCCAAATTATTTAGGAGCACAATGTCTTTGGTTGGTACCTAGTAAAAGCGAATAAACTTCAGATGAATTCCCAGGTTGTTTCAGGTATCCAGATCGTAGCCGTTTTGGTCTAGAGGCAAAAGGAATCAGGACTCAGGGTAGAGGCGATATCCTTTATTAAACTAGATTTCCAAGTTGTTTCAGAGAATTCATGAGAGTTGATCCAAATGAACACTGACTGCTACTCCACATTGCTATTTAAGTATTACCTTACCTTGGAGATAGAAGATAATGTGTAAACAACATCCTGACTGCCAGTGGGACTTCTGCTCCCACACCACTTGGAACTGACAAATCTCACCCACAGTTTATGCCCTAAAATCTACATCAGGGCTGTCCAACTACCAGCCCATGAACTGCATGCAGCCAACAAGGGAACAGCATGTAGTCTGTGGGCCTCTGCAGCTACCTCTCCTGCTGCTGCATGGCACAGGACGGCTGGAGGCAAAAGCACCAGCAGGGTGGCTCACACAGTTGGGGACAGGAGGCTGCAGAGCAGCTGGGGAGGGGGAGGGCATGTGACAGTGGCACTGCCTAGGAAGCGGAGGAGGGGGCTGGAGGTGGGAAGTTGAACAGCCTTGGTCTAGATCAGCATTTCTCAACCTCAATAGCAGATCACAAGAATAGATGAAAGGGCTGCAAACATTAAAACAAACTTAAAAAATGGATTCTCCTTTAAAGCGCAAAAACGTGGGACACTGTGGCTTCCCCCTGCAGGCTGGAAGAGTCCCAGCCTGCAAGGGGCTGCTTGGGACTCCCTCCCCCACACACCGAGGGGGCAGGAGCGAGGGGCACTGGGTCGGGACCAGCCGTCGGTGTTTACAAATGGGTCCTAGGACAAAAAAAAAGGTTGAGAACCACTGGCCTAGCCCAGAAAGCCGCAGAGCCTTCCTCAGCCTGACGAAGGGTTTTTAAATTAAAAATGTTTTCCAGCTGTTTAAGTTGGTGTAATAAAAGATACCAGATTCACTCAAAGAACCTTGTCTGCCCATCTCCTGAGACCAACACGGCCCCCTAGCACTGAGCAGAAATAAATTCATTTTATTGGTCTCTAAATGCGGTGTTGATCGGCCAGGGCCTGAATTAATTACACGGTGAACACGGCATCTTTTTGTTCGGTCAGTCCAACTGTGTGTGTACACACAGCCCGTGCCGCCCCCAGCCCCTGCCCTTCCAGCTTCAGCAGACGCGGGGTTTTCAGAAAGAAAAACCTCCCATACCCACCTACGCCTCGAGTTTTAAAACTTTCAGCAGCCCGTCTTCTCCGCCGCAGGCTATGAAGCCTTGGTCCTTGTTCCAGGAGATGCATCGCAGCCGAATGTTCCCGGGAATCGCGATCTGGAAAAGAAATCCGGGGGGGGCTTCACAACCACTTTCATTGTTTGAAAACACCTCCACCCTAAAAACCACGCATGCTCCGTGTTTTGGCCCCTCGCGGCCCACGCCAGGATGCTGACACGGGGGGAGGGCCCCGAGCCCCCCACCCTCCCCTCACCTTCTTGCTCAGGTAGATGAACATGGCGCCGCCGCCTCTTTGGCAACCAAGTTGCCCCGGCAACCGCCGCCCCAGGCCGG